GTCACCCAGACTGGAGTGCAGTGGTATGATCATGGCCACCGCAGCCTTGACCTGCTGGGCTCAGGTGATCCTTCTGCCTCAGTCTTCTAAGTAGCTGAAACTACAGGTGCACACCACCATGCTTGGCTCCTTTTTTTATTTATTGTAGAGAAAAAGTCTCGCCAAGTTGCCCAAGCTGGTCTCAAACCCCTGCACTTAGGCAATCCTCTCACCTCCGCCTCCCAAAGTGCTGGGATTATATGTGTGAACCACTGCACCCAGTCAGACTCAGTCTCTTCTTCCACTTAATAAAAGAGAGGTTCCATTGCTGACTAATGGATTGTTTCTATATATGGAAGCCTTTTTGCATACATGTAATTGAGTTTATTGTAGAGAAAGGTAACAGAAAATGGGGCTGTAGAAAGAAGAGAGATGAAGACACAAGCTGGATGAGGGTTTCCACACAGGGTGTCCTATCCACGGGCATCAGCATCCCTGCCACGGATCCGCCCGATTTTTTCGCATCAAGAAGTTGATCTTGCGAGCCATTTCCATGTTGTAGATTCGCCGGCAGGTTTCATAGCTTTCTCTCTGTCGCCGGCGGCATGGCTTCTCATAGTACCGCCGACGCTTAATGTCCTCAATGAGGCCATCCATGGTCAGGATTCTGTGTAAAGGCAAGCAATGAGGTGAGAAGCATGGGAATCACTATTCTTTTCCAGTTTCACAAATGGTCAGCAGTCAATTGGTCAAACAATTTCTATTCACAAAAATTATGGTGGGAATAGCGGCAATATAGCATTAACTGCCTTAGTGGGACCCCAATAAGAATTTGTGAGGAAATAAAAAAGCAATTAATGACATGGTCTTTGCTCTTGGAAAGTTTATAGTCAGGGTGATGTTCTCAGACTTTTTTTCTACCACAACACACCAAAGGGCTATGACATGGTCCCATAGGATCATGGCAGTGATTCTCAACCAGGGAGCATTTCAGAGACGTCAAATGGGGTGAGTCATTTGTAGTGGGAAGAAAATCATGAGGGGTGATTCTCACTTAGTCCTTACTGGAGAATATAGTTCCATCCTTTTTTGTTAAGCACTAATACAGCTGAAGTCTGTAGGTCTCAGGAATCTCTGGGCCTACCTAAATAGAGGGAAAGAGGTGGCCCTTATCACACCAGTGATACAGATGGGAGTATTAAAATAACAGCCTCACCCATCATTTTTCCATGTACCGCGTGTGCTAACCACAGTGCTTTGCTGACTATTCCCTGAACAGCATGACTACTCATGCTGTTTCCTCAGCCTAGAATGCAACCCCCACACCCCAGCTGCCAATGTTCTGACTGAAATTTTTCTCATTTTAATGCCAAGCTCAGATGCTACCTCTCCACAGTTTTTCCATCTTCAGAGAAAATCATTTATTTTATTGTAAACCTATTTAGTGATTTATTTCATTCTGCTGTTCTGTTATTTGTACAAATGTCTCCCTCATTAGACTGAAAATCCCTGAAGGCAGAAACCATATTTTATTTATATTAATTTCACAAGTGTCCATAAAACTGAGCTCAATCTACTTCTTTCCTGCCACCCAATTCTTTGCACTGGAGTTTCTCACGATGGATTGACAAGTCCTCTAACTCAAACTTATCTCCTTGTTCTCACTGAGCCAAGCAAGACTCTGAGGCTTATTCTATAACCAACCCGGTCCCTGTGAACCTGAGGTCTCTGGCTCTAACCTGCAATTTGTCTCTTGATACCTCATCAGCTGGTCCTGAAGAGGCCTGAAGGCACCTGCTGCCATCCTCCGTTCCTGGCTTTGTTTACATGGCCCCATTCCTGCTTACCTTGTCCTTTTATTACATGCAAAAAATCACAAACACAGCCGGGCTCAGTGGCTCAGCCTGTAATCCCGCGCCTTTGGGAGGCTGAAGTGAGTGGACTGCCTGAGCCCACAGGTTCGAGACCCGCCTGGGCAGTGAGACCTCGTCTCTACAATAAATCAAAAAATCAGCCGGGCGTGGTAGCGCATGCCTGTAACTCCAGCTACTTGGAAGGCTGAGACGGAAGGATCGCCGGAGCCCAGCAGGTCGAGGCCGCGGTGGCCAGGAGCGGCCACTGCACTCCAGTCTGGGCAACAGAGTGAGACTCCAACTCAAAAAAAAAATCACAAACACAATTGGAAATAAGGAAGTTGAGACATGACTATCATAACTGGAATAAAGGGGACAGAGAAAGAAGAAAATAAATAAAGAAAAAATCCCAGCTACTTCTGCCCAAGGAAAACCTCATTTATTGCCACTATGTGACACCACAAGCCCAAGATAATAGATTGAACATGAAAATAATTGGGGCCAGGTGCAAGGGCTCACATCTGTAATCTCAGCACTTTGGGAGCCCAGGAGTTTGAGACCAGTCTAGGCAACATAGTGAACCCCCGCCATCCCTACAAAAAAAAGTAAAAAGAAAAAAAAAAGCTGGGCTCAGTGGCTCAGCCTGTAATCCCGCACTTTGGGAAGCTGAGGTGAGTGGATTGCCTGAGTCTGCGGGTTCGAGACCTGCCTGGGCAACTTGGCGA